TATTTACATATCCCAAGTTCAATATCAACAATGTAATAAAATAACTCGACTCGACACACATTGTGGAGTGTAACGACATTGGAAAGCTGGAAAAGAAGATCTACCATTCCTACCAAATATGAGTTAATCTACGACTCCCAAGTGGTCTACCCAAGCAAGCTACTGATTTGAAACAAAATAGGAAAAAATAATAAGTGAGTCACAAAAATTCCATAAGTGAATACCGGAAAGAGAATAAGTTAGGGGATAAAAGTTTTTGCAATAAATCATAGTTACAAAATAATTATGACAATTATATAACCATAAATGCACTTGAAACTCATGATTCATAAAATATGATACTCATATCAAAGCTCAACTTACAAAATGTTTGCTACGAGAAAACAAAAAGTAACCCATGAACCTTCAAGTTCAACATCAAACATTCAATCAAGAATGAACCATTCATTTCATAAATCACATCAATACAAACCATGAGCAAATTAAGGAGATAATCAGTGCTTTGGCCTAATCATCTCTGTGTTATTCTTACTTCCACACCAAGATTCATTAAAAGGAAAAAAGTGGTACGATGCCCAACTTAACCTTATGGAATTTTTACCCCTACAATAAGACTAGAGCTAATATACAAAAGGTGAAAAGGTAACACATTGACCAAGCTTATCCCTTTGGTATTCTTACCCCACACCGAGACTAGAGCCAACATACAAAAAGGAAAAAGGTAATACGTTGGCCAAGCTTAACCTTGTGGTATTCTTACTTTCATACCAAGACTAGAGCCAATATATGTAATAGGAATGGCTAGTGTGCTTGCCAATCTCATCTCTATTGTATTCTTACCCTAACACTGAGAATAGTGCCAATCGCAACACAATTGAGATTTCACAGAAGATCATACCAAGATAAAGCATCAATAACAAATCATGTCAAACACATGTATCAAAGAAAAATAAAAACCTTCTCAATTTATAGTCACAATACTTACATTCAAGAACATTTTAATCATCCACAATCATTCTCAATCACATATATAATTCTTGAACCCATACTAGCCTGAAGGTCGAAGTAATCGAGTGGATTGCATCATAAAAAAGCTTGTCCCCCCTTTTTTTGAAAACTAATACATAATAGCATAATTACACATAATTTCGAAAACCAATTTCCAAAACATTTCCGCATCCATAAATACATTTTCTAGAATAAATATTTATGGGAAATCATACTCATCAACAAACCATCAATCATTCAAATTGTGCTTTCAACTTTTATACCAAGATGGTTTCGAAAGTGGTCTATCCATTCACCTCAAAAATATCAGCTTCGATCAAAAAGTACTAATCTACTCTAGCAATTCCTGTGGAGTTTCATTTGTTCGTAAACATTCAATAATCATAATAATTATTCCTCAATCCACAAATCATGTAATAATCTAACTAAGACTTTTCAAATTAGTCAAATTCATCTATAACTAAATTCTAGCTAAAATTCATTGTTTTACAGATATCCATGTGTAGAAAATTCATAAATCCATCATCTTTATCTTAGGTGAGCTCTAAACAAGGAGGGAATCCATCAAAATCCTTGACTTTGTAGAAATCCATAAATCTAGAATAATAGACAATATTTTCAGAGTTAAAAACCAAAGATTTAAAGGTTTTAAGAGTGAAAAATATCACTTTTACTTTTAAAACTCCAAACCCAACTCAAATCTCTTAAAAATAAAGATTTGAGTGAAAACTAGGTTAAGAGAGCCTTAAAAGGGAGAGATTACTTTTGAAAATCAACTAAAAGTTGATAACCCAAAGTAAAAGTGAGGTATTTATAGTTTAGGAAGTGAAAATACGCTTTTACCTCTTTTATTTTTATGAAAATGGCATTATATATCGATAGATCGGGGCTATCTATCAATAAGTTGGCTTTAGAGCCCTTTTTAAAAACTTTCTGATTACTATCTGTCGATAAATGGGGGCCATCTATCAATAAAGCTAGCTATCTATGGATAAATCTTGTCATCTATCCATAGATGTTCTTTAGAGCAACTTTGGGAAAACCTTTTTGGATTGTATGAAGAACATCTATCAATAGATAGGCTTCAATAAGTAAAAATAAACCTTAAAAACATGTCCAATTGGACTCCAATCTCAAACTTTGTAAATCATCTCTGAACCTTAAAACATAAATTTTTAAAGCTCAAAAACTTAATTTCAAATGCTCAAAGCATGTCAATTAATTGCTCACCTAAGGATTTCTTGTCAAACACTATACATTAAGATGGGATTTCACACTATAACAATTAAGAACTCATTTGCATTAGTGTTATCAGGAAGGCCATTTTAAATGCATTCAAAAATGGGGCTCTTAATAACAAACAAACAAAATTTTTTGGATCTTTCATGCCTCAAAAACTTTCTTAACAGTGTCAGAACTTCTAGTAGTAGGCTTTTCAGGTCTATTTACATTCATAGCTAGCTCTATATCAATTATTTTAATGAAAAACTCCACATCTCTTTTCCAATTCTTAAAGTTTGACCCAAGTAATATCTCAATAGTGGTCATGTTGTTATTAACAAAAAAGCTATGAAAGATTTAAGTAATTGAACATAATTAGTATAAATAGGGTAACAAAATTCTCTAAAACCATAAATGAATATAACAATTATAATCCAAGAGTCTATAAGCATATCATAATATAAACACCTTTGGGCTGAATGCATGACATGCATTTACGAACACTTACACATAAAAGTGGACATAAGAATTTGACGCAACATTTGCAACTTACCCCATTTAAGTGAATAAATTACTAGATCTAATCATTTCCCAAACACACGCTCTTATGTATTGTCTTCTAATTTAATATACAACCATCACCTTTAGGTAAATGAATGCACACCAAAACTAGAGACATCTTTAAATCACATAGGAATGACAATTCCACATCACTAGCTAATTGGCCACTTTAGTGACAAAAAGTTAACTAGCATAATGAGACCTATGGTGTAACGTGATATATCTTTATACTACTCACATGAACTCTATGATACAATTTTTAACTTAATGAGCATTGGGCATCATGTGTCAAAAACATACTTACATATGTGAAATAATCTTATGAAAAACTTGAATCATTATATCTCCATTTATGCCACTAAAAAAAATTAAAAATGTCAATTAAAAAATTACAAGGTTTTAGTCATCAATTTTGTACTCTATAACTTTGTCCCGAGAGTATATAAAATAGATAAATTTTTAGAGCAACAATATGCTACCATTATAATAAAAAAATATACATATTATTTTTTTATTATACGAATTCTAAAAATGTCTCCCCAAAATATTCAGAATAATTAATTAAATACATATAATAATATATAAATCCTAAGCACACACAAAATACAAAAAAAAATGTGTGTGTTGGCTTGACAATTTGCACTATTCATATTCTCCACCATCATAATGCGCGAACAACATCTATCATCTATTGAAGCCCAATTTGAGTTCTTAAATCCTTTATTCTATTCTTTTAACACCATATAATCAACCTCAAATGAATTTAACCTTCTTCTCTTTTATAAATTCTAAGTAAAACACATAAAATTGAGGTGATTTCAAGTCAAACTAAAAACAAAACTCACTAATATGAGCCCTAGAAACACAACACCTTCGATTGACGAAATTATTGGGTTTAACAAAGTTATATGAGCCTAACAACAATCTTTAGTTATCAAGAAACAATAACCTCAATGTAATTTTTTACATAAAATTATAGTGTTCTTGATTTGAAAATTTTAAAACTCATAGCACTCAACAAACTTAATTTCTTAAGCACGATTTCAACCAATTACAGAGATATAGTTTGACTAAATTACCATATTATTGATAGTATATCGTTAAATAAGCATGTCAATGATTCATATTGCACCATACACAAAGAAATTACGAATTTGAATAGCATGATTATACAAATTTAGAAACCACACAAAATCTAACATGCAGTCACAATTAATTCATGTAATAACCATATACAAGTAATTAATCATCACAATAATGATCTACTAGATCTCTAAAGTCATATATTCACATTTTGCACACAAATTGGGAGATGAAGTCATAGTTCTTTAGGCTTCTAAATCTAAATTATGGCTACTCTGATAATATATTAAATATTTTATATATAATAAATTATACTTAATTTAGGATCCACCATAGCAAAAATTTAAAACATGCTAAAGCATATTTAGTTTTTTGTCCACAACTCTAGTTAAAGAAACAACATGATCCCCAATAAACTATTATAGCTCAATACACTAGGATCTGATTGTTTATTTTTTGACA